CTCTTCGTCTGGCTCCTCTGATGAGACCTGTCCAGTATGGCACGGCTCTCATCTTCCTTGGAGCACTCAAACCCCAGAACCACATCAAGGTAGTGCCTCACTGGGGGTTGTTGTTGTTGTTGTTACTAAATATTAGCAAAGCTCTCAATTTTCTTAGAGTAAATAAGCAAATTGCCCAAATAGCTACCAAAACATCACTCAGAAATCAAAATTCAAAACTTCCATTACAAGAATCAAAGGCAGTAAAATATTCATGCCCCTCTTTCATGCAAATCAGATTGTAAATTCTCATGAGATCCAATTTGGTAAAAACATGTGCCTTTTGTGCCATTCCAAGAGTTCAAAAATGAGGTGAAGATGGTAATGATCCCTAAGGGTTACAGAATTAAGGAGCCCAAAAATGGAGCCATCCTTTTTCTCAACAACAAACAGTAAGTGCACTGGCATCAGAGAAAAAGCAGTAGATAAAGCCTTTCTGTACATTATCATCACCCATAAATTCTTCAGCTGTAACTGACATTGGGTAGTGACATTTTGTAGAAATCTAGGCTGCAAAAATAATGGCAAAATTGATGGGGGAGCAAAGGTCTGCATGTCCCTCCTTCCACATACATTACTGTAGAGAACTATAGAGATTATTTTGGAGAAACTGTGCAGAAACAGATACAAAAACCAAAACCAAAACATGCTTCAAGCCTGGGAAGCAGAGAAGGTGTTAGAAGCTCAGACTGGCTCCATCCTAATTCACTCAGGTGTAAAAGGGAGGGACAGGAAAACAGCCAGGCTTTCAAGATTCTTTCTACAGGTAGTCCTCATTTAACAAACATTAAAATTAAATTTAAATTTAAACATTAAATTAAAATTAAAAGACTTTTAATTTTGTATATTTTGTAAGATTTTTATTGTTTTTATCATTTTTATTCATGAGCCACCTAGAGTTACTTACAGTATATAGTGAGATGGGTGGCATATAAATTTGATTTATAAACAAATAAACCACTCATTCAGCGACCGTTCAAAGTTACAACAGCGCTGAACAAGTAGTACTTATGACTGGTCCTCAAACTTCTGCCCATCCCAGCACTCCCGGTCATGTGATCGCGATCCAGACACTTGGCAACCAGCTCACACTTACGATGGTTGCAGCACCCCACAGGCACATTATTGCCATTTGCAGCTTCCCACAAGCAAAGTCAATGGGGAAGCCAGCAGGGGAGGTCGCAAATCACTCCAGTAAGTCACTCGCACCCTCCCTGCCCAGCAACACCCACCCTGGCCCCGCCACACTCGCACCATGCCTCACACCACACCTTACCTGTCTGCCAGCCTGCTTGTGAGCCACCTGGGACTCACTTAATGACTCACAGTCCTCGCTTAAGGAAGGCCATGGGGATTGCTGGGATTGCTGTTGCTAAGTGATGCAGTCACATGACAGTGTGCTTTACAACCTCATTGCTTAGCGATGGAAATTCCGGTCCCAATTACCATCGTTAACCAAAGACTACCAGTATAATCTATATCAATAAAATATAGTTCCAGTCCAACTTGTAGAGTCTGTTTCCGGACCTGGTCTACCTGAAAGAGCTGACATTTACTGTATATAAATTGGTTTAGTAAATAAAAAAATAAATTTTTGAATACCAATATTATCCTAGTCCCAATAAATCACATTTGGTGACATTGCAGGTCTTCTGGAAAATGCAGCAAGGAGGCTAAATAAAGTTGTAGGAACTGCTGATGATTGCTGATGGTGAGAAGAGGTTCAATGAATTTCATGATAGGTACTGTGCATAAGAGCATCAACACCTACAAGTGTGTGGGACAAACTGAGTTGGCATCTTCTGTAGTAGGTTCTGAGTCTCTAGAGAAGCAGGAATGGCTAAAGTTGAAATGTGGCTCTGTGTGTTTAGCTTCCACTTCTCTAGTTGCCTGAGCTTTTGAGCGCTTGAAAGTTGGGAGCGACTTACTTCCCAACAGCCAGATCTGCAGCATTAGCTGCATCATTGACAAAATGCCCCCTTTCCCATAAGTAAAAGGCTTAATGCTTTGGAGGAGAAGAGGTTCTTAAAAGCCACTCGTGTGTGAAATGGCCAGGTTCTCCACAATGGAAGCGCAAGCTTTGTGTATGTCAGTGTAACTTTTCATGGCCAGATAGGGGAGCTTTGCTAGCTCCCAGCTTCATGGGCTCAATTTCCAAAGCCTTTGGTGTGTGGAGGGGCAGAAGTCAAAAGACAATAGTGGTGTTTTCTTTTCCTACCCCTACTCTGCTGCAATTCCTTGAGTTTTCCATCAATCCCCAATCAGACTTGGATGAATGCAAGGGAGGTGGATGTCAGAGGGCTGCAGCACCACTTTCTCCAGCAACTGCTGCCAGATTTTGGGCCAGGATTGATATGGGAGTTCTGATACTGGAGTAAGGCACTGGCAATGTGATCCACCGTTAGCAGGGTTGAATTGTTTCATCTTGGTGTCAAAGCCCAGCCTCTACTCCCATAACTCTGAGAGTAGGTTAAGCAGAACTTGCTGTCAGACCTTAAGCTAGCCACAGCAATCATTTTTTGACTCTCAGGGTACTTAATCCTCAGAATCTTGTTTACAACAGAAGGTAGTAGTAGCAACAAAAGTAAGTTGCGTTATTGGAGACAAAAAACTAGTCATACAAACGCAGCAGATATACAGATATATTTATTTGTCTGTTCCAGTCTAAATTCTAGGCCTTTTCTTCCTGGTTTGTTTGGTTTTTGTTCTGTTTTTGAGTCAACAGCAATTTGGCCATTCCCTTCCTGGCCTTGACAGTGGGAGTCATCTGCTCAATATTTATATAACAGTTCTCTACAGCCTGAGAACCACTGGATCCTGCCATGCCAGCTTCAGCCCTTATGACTATTTTGCCAAGCTCTGGATTCTGTTATCAAATTAAACTGTTTGACCTGCATCTATTTATTTATTGCATGGATTTATAGGGCCTCCCAACTCAAACAATGTGACTCTGCAATGAAGGAAAGGTTGCTTACCTGTGTCTATCATTCTGATTCTTCAAAAGGTCACCTGTACATTCGAACAATTCAGTTTTGTCCACATACAGATGCTTTTGGTGGGTTAGTTTTCTTTCTTGGCCTCAACCTGCACACTACAGTCCTCTGTATATTCAGTCAGCATGGATTGCCAGGCTCTCATTGAACCTTCTTGGCTCCGCCATGCTTTGTATGAGGCTCTCTGAAGGTGTGAATGTTCAGATATAATGGTCTCGCCTGGGTCCTCTGAGTCACAGGCCAAAGAGGCAGACCAGATGGACTGTCAGCCTGAAGAGCTACCAGGGTCAACCATGTGCCTGTGGCAGCTTTAAGACACAAATGAGTCTGAGCAGGTGACATCTGATTCAGATAACAAGGACCTAGATTTTGACGGGGGTCCGTCCCAAGAACATACCGGCATACGAGGGGCTGAGTAAAAGCAACCAGCACCTCCAGGCTCTTGCCCTTTCCAGACCTGTCCTGTCTCTCTTGCACCTTACCCTTCATTGACACCCTGGTCTTAACATTTGGACCAGCTCATGGCATTTGAACCCTGGACTGTTACAGGCAACTTGTGTGGCTCTGCTCTTGCCTGCCTTCTGTAAAGACCACTACAGCTTAAGCTTCAAGGCAAGTCACGGTCTCTTTAAACTTGCCAGGCCTTACACACTCTCTGGCTGATTGCCCAATTCCTCAGCATTATCAGAGAGTTTATGATGTGGCAAGAAAGCTTTTCAAGCTTGGATTAGCCAGACTTTCTGGCTTACACTGAGTGATGCAGGACAAGAGGGTGACCCCTTGGTGTAGCCAATTTTAGGTAAGAAACCTGCCTTTCTCAGAACCTTGGAGCTTCAGGATTAGCTGAGCAATGGAACCCATGAGAAGATTCCAGAGAACCCAAAATAAAGATGTGTTTTCCAAACAACCCACCCTGAAATCCATGACCAAAAAAATGTGGTGATAGCACACACTTTTCAGGGAGAACAGATAAATGGACTGAAGACAACCTGTGTGCTTTGCATTAAAACAGCTAAAAAAGCTTCTTGTTATGTAGCAACAGGATGCACCTCTACAGAAGCACATTAATCTGACTGGCAACTAGCCCGCCATTGTGGAGAGCCACATGAGGCTCATTCTGCAGCACCAGAGGGCTTCTGGATCATGTCACGATGGCAGAGCAGCACAATCTGCCAGATGAGCAAAAAGCCACGACCAGACAAGAGCTCCGTGCAACGTGGAGGTACATGCCACAATGTCTTGCAATCAGGAACACCCATAGGTAATCTGGGAGTGACCAAGTAACCACTCAGTCCCAGAGCAAACCTCGCTGAGTGGTGGTGAGACTCTGTCACTGATTGACCGGTTATGATCATTAGCTGAATACGCCTCATTATTGCACTCATTCACCTCTAGAAAACTCCTATGGGTCTCCCCCCGATTTTCGCCAGTTTGGACAGGTTGACAATTAATCTTTCCCTGTTTTCATGAAGTTCATCCTAGATCATTCAATCCTCCAGCATTTTGAATGGAAAATTTGCTTCCTGCCCCATTCTTCTCTGCCACCTCCTTGTTTTTTGGCCCCTGGCAGACACTTACGGTATTGACTTGCCGCAGAACAGTCCCCTCAGCAAAAAAGAGTGGTTTGCGAGTGTCGACAACAATCAGATCAAAGTAAGAGCGCCATGGCTGATGCTGAGATTTGTCCTGCTGTTGAAGAAGGAACAAATTAGGCTAAGATGGGAGTTGGCATATTGGCAAGTCCTGAAAGGAACTGTACTATGAAACTGAAGGCCTCACACCAGTCACAAACTCACAGATGACTGTATGCGTGACTCTCTCTCTCCCTCTCCCTCTCTCCCCTCAGTTACAGAGCTGCTGTATGGACTTTGATAAGTGCTACACTTGGATTGCAAGCTCTCTGACAGTTTACATCACTAAAGCACGTGAGACTTAATATCATCTGGTCCCCATGGAGACAGACACAGGAGACACGAAAGGAAGGCCAGCTGCAGCGTTCCCTACTCTTTGGCATGAAAGCCTGCCCAGAACATGAACTGACCCATCCAGATGCTGCTAAGGGCCATTTGGGCCTGAAAAACCTCACAAACTGCAGGGAACACATTCACAGGTTGACTTACCGTGTCTCCTTCACTGAAGTCAAGTAAGTATGTCATGATTGCCTGTAAAGAGATAAGCGCAGTGTGCCACTCTCTTCTACAGTGAAGATTCAGCCCAGGTTCAACAGCCTCGTTAACCCAGAAGACAAGGATGCAAAGCCAGAACATCTTCAACGCATCTCTGCCACTGACCCATCTCCCACCAAACCATCTGTGTTCATATGCAGTTGCAAGGTGCATGACCCTACATGAGAAGCATCACACAGAACATCCACAAAAGTGAGGACCAGCTTGTTGCTCTTCAGCAGCCAGCCAAACGGGCAGTCCAATACTATCACTATGTGTTGTGGAGGGAAGCGGGCCCTACCTCGCCTACCCCTGGAAGGCCAACTTACGTCTGTATAGTTGTAGTCACTGTTGGTGGCAAGAAACATCTTCCCTGTGTCCTTCATGCGACTCAGCAGAAGAGGAACACGGGGCTGTACGGAAGAACACAGAAACAACCTGCAAATCAAAGGCTGGCCACTACCTGCAACAGCATTCTGAGTGTCTTCAAGGTCACAGAGGTTCTGCCTGCCCAGCCGAGGGTGCAGAGAACACCTGTCAAGATAGGAGGGGGGCTGAAAGTAGGCATTCTCTGCAACAGCTTTCTCTCCAAGCCAGGCGTCACTCACATCTTTCACCACATACTTCTCCAGGTTCTCCAGCGTTTTTTCCTTCAGGCAGCCCTAGGAGAGCAACAGATGAGGCCACATGAGTTCTGTGCCACAACCCAGACCAAGCAGCTGTGGGTCTGTTGTATGGCAGTTTAGCCAAGGCAGCTCCTGACACACTGACTCTGGGCTGCCCACAGCAGGTTGCAAGTGAGAAGAGGTTTTGAAGCTGGATGCAGTGGACCAACGCAGTCCCAAACCCTAACTCTTCCCTCACATCCAAGATCTTTATTAAGTTACTAATAGCTAATATGATTTTTATCAATGTATTTTGAAGTTACTTCTAAGCTGCCTTGGAATTGCAAAATGTAAGATGTGACTGGGTGGTGAGTTTTTTTGTTTTTTAGTATCTTTGAGTCTCTCTTGACTCCTGGCAACTCCATGCAGTTTTCTTGGCATCATTTTTGGAAATGGTTTGCATTGCCTTTTTCCTCCTAGGGCTATGTGAGAGGGACTGGCTCAAAGTCACCCAGCTGGCATCATGCTTAAGGCAGGATGAGAATTCAGGGTTCCCCACTCCTGATCTAGCAACTCAACCACTAGACCAAGGTGACTCTTAAGTGTGAGTCACTGTAATAAATAATACAAGGAAATATCTCAGTCCTATCAGAGGTGTATTACCACATCCATGCCCTTGCTGCTCTTGGTTTGGATGTGTGAATGGATTTGTAAAGAACTTAAATCTTCTCCAAAGTTGAAACTCTTACATCTTTAAAAAGTGTTGAAGCTGGAAAGAAATATATTTTAAACAAAAGGATCCAAAGGCTGAGACTGCAAAAGAGGTGTCTATGGCCTTTCTACATGAAAATGTCCAACTTTTAAAAAAAGTTTTTATTTTGTTCTATGCAAAAAAAGGAAATGAATATAGAGAAAAATGTGTATTACACTGCATAGAAATACGATGTTTCAGCCTTATTTTTTATTTCTACTATTTCCCTCTGGAGCCATCGCCATAGTCCCCTTCCTCCACACATGGTTCCCTTTCCCTCCTGCTCCCAATTTGGAAACCATCCAAAGCGGTTAAAGGGGTGCCCTCCCTGGCAGCACAGCCTGCAGAACAGCCAACACAAGGGGCTGAAGGTTAGCAGGCCTGGACCTCAGCTTCTTTCTCCACTACCCCTCCACACACATGGCCACCCCCTCCCCTGGGAACTGCTGTGCCAAGCAGGCTTGCCTCAGAAAAAACAAGGAATGGTTTTGGCCCTGAAGGAGCAAGGCCTGTGCCAGTCCCAGTGATTATGTGCCAGAGCTGCTGCCCAGGGGTGAGAGACCTGGAGAAGGGGACTGGGGCTCCAGATGGTGGATACTGAAAACAGAGATGGAGGGCTGGTCACTTGTCATCTTAGGAAAAATGCATGCCAAAAAATATGCATCTTATCTAAAAACTGAAAAGACCAGAATGTTTTTTGAAAAATCTGTTACTTTACTGAATCTGAATCATTATGCATGTCAATTTATAATGATTCAGATTCCATAAATCAATCAGCAGCTGCTGTCCACACAGGAGTGACATGAGCGGGACCAGGCGAAATGATTCCCCGGCCTTCTGGCTTGTGCATGCAGAACCAAAGCCCTGTGAGAATTTGGCCCCATTTCAGCCAGGCAGAAGAGGACCACGTTCTCACAGCAGCCTAGCTTCATGCGGGAAATCACCCCAAAATTGTCAATTTGGGTTGAACTGAAAGATCTGCATTGGCTGCCAACTGACTCTCAGGTATGATTTCAGGTATTTAAAATCCTAAATGCTGGAACCCAACTATCTGGGGGGCATCTCTCCCACTGTGAACTTGCCCAGTTACTTAAATCAGCAGAAGTCCCACTGCCAGAAGATTAATTGTCTGATACATGGAAGGATGCCTCCGGTGTGACTCCCAGGTTATGGATATTCTCCTGGGAGCAAATTTACCCCCACTTTTTCTTTCTTTTTTCTTTTTTCTTTCTTTGGTGCCTTCCAGTCAGTCTTGACTCCTGGTGACTGCCTGGAGTAGTCCCTGCAGTTTCCTCTGAAGGTTTTTCAGAACTGGGGCTGAGAGAGAGTGACTGGCCCAAGGTCGCCCAGGTGGCTTCATGCCTAATGTGGGACTAGAACTCACAGTCTCCCAGTTACTAGCCTGATGCCTTAACCACTACACCAAACTGTGTGTATAATATAATGAATGTTGGAAAAAAGAGCACGAGACAACTATGTAATATGCCTAGGAAGAAAAAGATAGCTAACAAGAATGTAGTCAAGGGAACAAGGAGAAGTTAAAATTAAAAGGTGAAGAGAAAATGGACAGCAATTTTGACTGAAATAAAACATTGTTTTGAATGGGGTAAAAAGGATTGAACAAGATATATTCAAAAAAGTTATTGCAATTAAGAATAAAACTGTTGATTAAACTGGGTGAGAGGATGTTTAAGAAAGTACTTTAGAGATCTGAATGGGAATGACAGCGATATGTCAGAGTAGAATTGAAATGACTGCTGTTAAAGTCCAAGGAAAAATAGATGAAAAGAAAATCATAAATTATGTGAGAAGGTTAAAAAATAGCTGGAGAAATGTGAAAAATGGATGTGATTTGCTGGCAATGGTTGTGCAACTTGTTCAGTGTGCATGCGCAGACTGCTTCCTTGCCTGATGACTGGAACACTGGACTATGGCTGCCCTACACAAAGGGAAGGGCTGGTTGGGGTGGTGGTTAAACGTACTGGACTAGGAGCAGAGAGACCCAGGTTCTAGTCCTTCCTTAGGCCCAGAAGGCAGCAGGGGATTCTGGGCCAGCCATGCTCTCAGACCTTGACTGGGAGGTGGAAAAGCATCCCGCAAGAAGGTTCTGGCGAGCCCCAAAATGTTGCTGACAAAGCTGCATGGGCCTGTCCCTGGAACCCCTAGCACCCCAGATGCTCTGCAAGGACCACGCAAAGGGAAAGCCCGCAAGAGGGAGTGCAGGAGTGCGGGCTGTGTTGGATCAAAAGGGCATGACAGATCACGTGGCATAAGGTTGGGGACGTGCGCTGCATCTCTTCACATCCATACGTTTTCCAGACCAGTTAAGTACGAATATGAAAAATAAAGCTTATTGCACGTTTGTTGATTTAGAGGAAGTTTATGACGAAGTGAATACGCTTAAATTATGGAACATTTCGCGTGAATATGAAGGTTAGTAATTGAATGTAGCAAGAATAGCACTTAATGGAAGTAAAGCATCCGTGGAACACCTAGCAGATAGTTCAACATGGAGCAGGGGGCAATACAAGGATGCGCAATACCCCTCGACTGCTTAATGTTTACATGCATAAGGAATGCTTCTCATAGACAATACCTGTTTTGACAACTGATGCACCATTTAAACCAAATGCCAAAAGGATATATCCAAGTTTGTGTGGCAGGGAAAAAACATAAGTTAAATATAAGGTGTTACAAGATGCAAAGGAAAGGGGAGGCCTGGGTTTACCTGATTTGAAATTGCATCTGCAGCTTGCTGTTTGGTTTGGGTGCTGCTGAGAAATAGAAGGCTCTTGGGGTTAGGAGGACATGACCTGAGATTTGGGTGGCGTGGGTATCCATGGTACGATAAAGTCAAGGATAATGCGGATTTTAAAAATCATTAGGTTAGACATGCCATACTGAGATTATGGAATAGGTACAAACCCAGGTTGTTCCTGAAAACACCTTTGTGGATCTCAGCACAAAAAGCATTTTATAGATGACGAATAATAGGCAAACACAAATGGCTAACTTATCATGAGATCCTAGAATTTTGTCAAGGGGAATACAAAATAAAATCAAGAGAACTGGGGGCAGAGGGATATAGTTGCCAATGGTTTTCTTATTTACAGTTATTAGAAACATATAAAGTAGACAAAAGAGCTTATGGTTTTGAACATTGTACGAGTTTGAAATAGAACGGTGTACAAATGATGAATATGTAATTGCTAAAATGTATAAACTTTTATTGAAATTTGAAACAGAAGACGAACAAATGAAAGAATGTATGATAAAGGGAGCTAAATTTTTTGGTTATAATATACAGATTGGACAATGGGAAAATATGTGGTTGAAAGGATTGAAATTTACATTGTGTTATAATCTTAAAGATAATTTTTATAAAATGATATATTGTTGGCATATGACACCAGAAAAATTGTCTAGAATGTATAAAGGTACTTCAAATTTATGTTGGAAATGTAAACAACAAGAAGGGACATTTTATCATGCTTGGTAGACATGTAAAAAAGCTAGAAAATTTTGGATTCAAATGCATACACGGATTCAGAGGATTTTAAATATTAATATACAGTTGGAAAAAAGTCATGGAACATTGTTTTTGTACATGATAACTGCAGTGAGATTATTGTATGTACAAAGTTGGAAAGATTCAACGCTCCCCACAATGGAGGAATGGTTGGTGAAGATGACGGAACCTGCTGTGATGGCTAAATTGACTTCTTTGATCAGAGAAAAGACAATATCTACATTTATTGCTGACTGG